CCCTCCTTCCCTCCCTCCTCAAATGTACCAAAACAAAGTAAAAAAAAAAAGAACTTTGCTGTGCTGTCAGTTTGTTCAGAGCCACAGTCAGAACTGCTGAGAGTCATTCCAGGCATCAGGTGTGGTGCCATGAGACCGTACCTAATGCATGATGATAAATCGTGATCTCTTGGTGACACTCCTGGGGTCATCTGCCAGGAATCATCCTTGCCAAGTATCATGACTACTGAGTGTATGTTACTGCTGCCTTTACTCTTGGGCTTACATCATGACACATGGGCCTGTCTCTGTCTCCCCTCTGCTGTGTAGGAGTTGCCCATCGGAGCCAGAGCAGCGAAGGAGTCAGCTCTCTCAGCAGCTCGCCGTCCATCAGTCCCTCTCCCGTTCCCAGAGCATGGATATCGATGGCGTCTCCTGTGAGAAAAGGTAACTTGATGCCACCGTTATTGCTGCTTTACTTAAAAGGAAAAATTGCACTCTTTAGTCTTTAGTAGTCTGAAATGACAACCCAGTGACCCATGTCCTTATCAAACCAATTCCAAATTCCATTCCTTTTTTTTTCTTTTTTTCTTTTTTTTTTGTTTTTTCGAGACAGGGTTTCTCTGTGGCTTTGGAGCCTATCCAGGCACTCGCTCTTGTAGACCAGGCTGGCCTTGAACTCACAGAGATCGCCTGCCGAGTGCTGGGACTAAAGGCGTGCTCCACCACTGCCCAGCCCAAATTCCATTCTTAAATTGAAAAGTTTTTCTGTTCTGAATGAAATATTCTTTGTATTGTTGTCTGTGTCATGTGTCTTTTATGAATTAGAGAGATGGCTCAGCAGTTCTAAGCGGGTGCCACCTGCCCACAAAACTTGAGTCTTGTATGAGACGTGAGGTGTGGGTGATGAAGCACAATGACGTCACAATAAACCCACGGTGCTGGGAAAATAAGAATACTGAAGACAGTGTGGCAGCTCCTTGGCGATAAGCTTGGTAACCAAGCTGCCAAATGCCTGATGAACCATAGCATATACTGTCCTGTATGGGTAAGCCCGACAGAGGGAGGGAGGACTTCTGGCCTGGGCAGATTGGAGCAGGGTACAGGCTGTCACCGTGCTGCTCACCAGCATGTAGTTTAAACTTGTGACTTGCTTGTTTGGTTTCAGTGAAAGGAAGAAATAAAGGAAAACCACTAACGGTTGTATGTCTTGTAACCCAATTCAGTGATTAGAAGTAAGCACTCTGTGATGGTGAATTTAGCAGCAGCCGTGACAGTCCCAAGTATGGGCACACTTAGTAATACAATGTCAGCGTGCCCTAAAGTGATCGCTGAGGAGGTGCTAGGAGGCAGTTGCCATATATACAACCGTCCTGAAGGGCTTCAAACGCGGCTTTTAGCCAGAAATAGATCAAGGAGAGAATGAACAGGAGTCAGCATCATTAAGCAGCGCAGCTGGTGAGCTGGATCTGATTGAAAAGCATTGGACTTTACATATTCACCATAATCCAGAAAGTTAGCATAGAACTTAACAAAATACCCTTAAACATTTGAAAATTTAGGAACCCGTCAAGGAGAAATCATAGTGGAAATGTGTTTGTATATAGAATTAGAGCAAGGCATGTTGAGATGTTTTAGTTGGTGAGACAGCGTGGCTGGTTGTGGGACAGAATTGAGTACTACCCCAAATACCACATAATTGTGAAAATGAGACAGATGATATAATAGCGTTCTTGTCAGAGTCATAGTGATGAGTGGTTTAGTACATGGTGATGGACAATCACTTAATGTAAGCAAGCTGTGCTTGCAGCACGCATTGTATAAAAACAGCAATCCTAAAAATCCATTCTGCTGATATCTTAGCTTTTGAAAGTGAGCCCAGGGAAATTACACTTTGGGAAAAAGGATTCCAGCACATAAGGCAGATGCTTCTATGCCAGTTCATGCGGAGCTCTTAGATTTGCAGGAGGAGAAGGGGAAGCAATATTATTTTGCTTTCATGACAAATGTTGATTGATAGTTTAAAGTTCATCACAATTTTGACACTGGGAGTTTTAGGAAAGATGGAAGCCTCGTTTGTCTTTTGTATTTAAAGCATGTCCCAGGTGGACGTGGATTCGGGAATTGAAAATATGGAAGTGGATGAGAACGACCGAAGAGAGAAAAGGAGCCTGAGTGACAAGGTTAGTAAAGAGGACACTGCCATGCTCCGTTCTCCATCTGGCATCTGCTGGTTTGTTAGTTTTGTTTGGGCTTTTTTTTAGACAGAATCTTGCTTTATATCCCTGGTCGGCCTGGGCTTTTGCAGATCTGTCTGGCTGTTTGTTCATTGTGGGGATTAAAGACGCATGCTACCGTGGCTGTCTAGGTCCATGTTTTCTGTCAGTTAATTTTTGTGGGTCTTTATGGAAACAGTAGATCATTATATCTTTGGCAGTATTCTGAAGTAATTAAACAAGGACATGTAAAATCTACCAGCAAGTACAAACTTGATGCGGCCACTCTATCTGTTTTCACCCGAGCTTTGGTCCCTCTTCTGGGTGGCTTGGGTTTGGGTGTCATTTGGGTTTGGGTGTCATGTGTGGCATAGGTTAGTACATCACATTCTGTTTAGGAAGTGCACACAGAACCACTTTGGTGACATCGTGATTGTTGTTAGAAGTTAGACGATAGCCTCCTTGTGGTGCAGTCTCTATTCGGGTAGTTCTTCGTTTTTCTTATATGAGATAGTGCTCCTGTCATGAAATGTAGTGAGACACGTTAACGTTTGCAAAAACCCTTGAAGGAACGTGGCTACATACCAGGAACACTAACCTGGTCTTATGCGCTCACACAGCAAGCAGATGATGTGGGCACATCCTGTGCCTTGTTTTTCCTGCTGATTCCTGATAACGCCTTTGCTCATACATACTCACCCATGATGACACCAGCTTAATGAGACCTTGATTTTGTAACTTAGACCCCCAGCTCACAAAATCTTATGTGTAACTCTGGGTGACTTGAAGCTTGCTTTGTGTAGACAGGCCATCCTTGTTTTCATAGTGTTCCATCTGCCTCTGCTTGCTAGCATTGGGCCACCTAGCATGCCAGCGTGTCCCGGTGATAAAGGAGTTAAATTGTAATAAAACGCCTCAACTCTTTGTCCTTCTGTAGATTAACTCTCAGCTCTCCCCACTAGGAGCCTTCCTCATGTCCTGAAGTGTCTGAAGAGCAGGCCTTACAGCTGGTCTGTAAGATCTTCCGAGTCTCCTGGAAGGACCGGGACAGAGACGTCATCTTCCTTTCTTCTCTTTCTGCGCAGTTTAAACAGAACCCAAAAGAAGGTGGGCTCTGTTTTCTCAGAGCATCTGCATTCCTGTGGGGTGCGAGGCTTGGGGGGTCTCTGTCTTTGTGCGGTGGGACTGCACTTTTTGTTACAGGTTTGGGGGGGGGCTGCTTCTGCTGGGGACACAACTGTGTACTCACTTTCTTCTGTTTCACCGATCTTATTGCTAAATGAATTTTTTTTTTTCCTTTTTCTTTTTCTTTTTTTTTTTTTTTTGGCGACAGGGGTGGTGGGTAGAGACAGGGTTTCTCTGTGGCTTTGGTCGCTGTCCTGGAGCTAGCTTGTAGACCAGGCTGGTCTTGAACTCACAGAGATCTGCTTGCCTCTGCCTCCTGAGTGCTGGGTTTAAAGTTGTGTGCCACCACCGCCCAGCTGCTAAATCATTTTTTTTTAAGATTTTAAAATTCGTTTTTATTTATGTATATGTTCCACCGACTTGCTGTGAAGTGTGTGCTGGCCGAGAAACACTAGTCTTGCTCTTTGCAACTTTAGTGGGGACTTTTTACAGTATCAGCATGGCTCCCTGACTGAGCACAACTTGCTTTAAATAAAATTTAATATTTGGGATAGTTATATATTTACAGAAAAAAGAGATGACAAGGAGCTTCTGCATAAGCTTCGTTCAGTTTCCTCTAATGTTACCCCTGGTTCAGTTGTGGTATGTTTGCCCAGACTTGGAAATGACTGTGGACTGAACCAGCAGGATGGTTCAGTGGGTAGAGACACTTGCTCCTAGGCCTGTTGGCCTGAGTACTATCCCCAGAACCCACATGGCGGTTTGAAAGAGCTCCTGAAAGTTGTCTTCTGACACATACGTGGGCATGCATGTGTAAATACACACACAGGCACAAATAAATGTAAAATCATTTTTAGAAGAAAAATTACTGGGAAGAACACCGAACATCTTTTTTGGATTTTCAGCTAATACCCTTTTACTGTTGAGAATCCAATGCAGGGTACCACGCAGACCCCCTCTGGTCTGTTTGGCTCACTAGAGGACTGTGTGAGGACCCCTGAGCAACCTGCTTTTCTTTTGCCTTCCCAGCAGTGTTCTCTGATTTCAAGGATCTGATTGGTCAGATTCTGATGGAAGTGCTGATGATGTCCACTCAGACTCGAGATGAAAACCCATTCGCCAGTCTGACAGCCACATCCCAGCCTATTGCCACGGCAGCTCGGTCACCTGACAGAAGCCTGGCGCTGAACACTGGCTCCAGTTCAGGAACAAGCCCCATGTTCTGCAACTTGGGCTCCTTCAGTGCCGGCTCGTTGTCTAGGTAAGTGTGATCCTCTTTGTACATCTTACCAGTAGTAAAACAGTGTTCAGGAGTGCCGCTCCACAGGGCTGATCTGTGTCCTTGACATTATGGTGTCTTTCGTATGAGGGGGGAGCAGGGGAGAGGGTGGCTGTGGTCACTGGAGGTGCTGTTATCCTTTCTTGATTGAATTTCTTAGCCTTCTGTGGGTAGGTTGTTGGCAGGTTAAATTTTAGACACACATGGCTGTGTGTGCTACATTAATCTTTGAAAGGGGTCATTGGCACCTCCACATGAATGGAGTAATTAGATTCTGGTTGTTTTAAAAATGCTTATCTACTTAAACTTTTAGAGTTTGTAATATGATTGTATTATCCTTTAAAAGCTGACGTTATCCATTTTTAGTTATCTCAAGTTTTTCTTTGATTTTTCTCTTCTTTCCTCCCTTTTTCAACTAATTTAGCCTCTATGAAACTAGCCCTGCTCCTTCTGCCAGTTTCTGGAGCTTTGTGCCCGTGCTGAGTCCATCCTTTGCCTCACCTTCCCACGCAGCTCCCCAGGGGGCTGTGCCCTCAGCCCCCAGCCCTCCCAGTGCAGCCCCACAGCGGGTTGTGCCTTCCATATCCCTGAGCCCTCACAGCGCAGCAGCCCCACAGCAGGCTGTGCCCTCAGCCCTCAGTTCTCACAGCGCAACACTCCAGGGGGCTGTGCCCTCAGCCCTCAGCCCTCAGAGTGCAGCCCCTCAGGGGGCTGTGCCTTCCACACCAGCCCTCACAGCGCAGCCCCTCAGCCCTCACAGTGCAGCCCCTCAGCAGGCTGTGCCCTCAGCCCTCAGCCCTCATAGCGCTGCCCCTCAGGTGATTGTACCTTCCACATCCCTCAGCCCTCACAGTGCAGCTTCTGGAACTGCGGCTGGAAGCCAACCCTCATCCCCAAGGTACCGGCCCTACACTGTCACGCACCCATGGGGGTCTTCACCTTGCCCCACGCCACGATCCTCCATTCTGGCTAACTCCCCAGGCTTTCCTGCCCGCCCAAGTAGTCCCCGAGCAGTACCTGCCAGCTCCTCCAGACAGAGGCCCCGCAGCAGGGGCCCCGCCTTCCCACCCGCCTCGCCCAGTGCTGCCAGCAGACGTCCCTCCTCCCTGCGGATCTCTCCTAGGTATTTATTTGCAGGAGAGCTGCGTGTGTGTTTGCAGTGCAGGGAAAGAAAATTAACACTGTTTGGAAAGAACTGCTGTGTGACACTGACCTCAGTTGAATTCTGGGAGTCATTGGGTCTTAACCTGTGTCGCTCGCTAGCTCTCTGGTGGGCATGTGCCCTGCTTCTATGATCCTCCCAGGCTTTTATCCACTAGAAAGTAAAGATTGCAGTGTTGTGCGCTCCTTTCTTCCCTTCCTTATCACCACTCTTCCTGTCATCTGCAGAAAACCCAAAGGATTGCATTTTTTTGCAACCTAGCTCATGGGTCCCTCATTATACATGAACCTCAGAGACTGTGGTCAGTGTTGCATTTGAGAACTGGGGCTCACAGGATGACTTTTTGGACTGGGGCAGTGTCTGCTCTTTCTGTGAGTCATGCCTTTATGCTTTGACGTCTGATTGCATGCAATTTCAGTCTCTCAGAAAGTAGCAGCAGCAGCAGCAGCAGCAACAGCAGCCCTGAGTCCCGTGATCCTCCCTTTCTCAAATGCACTTGCCTATTCCTGTAATTCAGGGACTTGTGTTTCTGCATGTCATACAACTTAAGTGTAAGGCTTATTTTAAACAACAGCGACGCAGCAGCTCTTTCTCCCTCTCGTTTCCTTTGTTCCCTGATGGCCTTTTTTGCTTTTGTTGTGGTAGTATGTACGACAGTCCTTTCTCCTTCCTCTCCCTCGCACTCTCTGGGGACAGTAGTGATGCAGAAGATGGAGAAGACGATGAGGAGGAGGATGAGGATGATGAGGAGGATGAAGGTGGTGGTGGTGGTGATGATTTTTCTTGTGTCCAGTTTGGGTCCAGGTATCAGAAGAATGGAGTCTCACCCCTGCATGTGCTATAGGTGCTTAGGAACTAACTGTAGTGAGCGCTGCTTTCAATCCAGACAGTGAGTGTTCAGTGAGGAAGGCCAGCACGTGTGCACTGGTGTGAGCACCTTACCCTGGGATGAAGTGACTGAAAAGAGATGAGCTGCCACTCATCCTTCAGCTCACCCACCTTCAGGAAGGAAGGGAGGGGCTTCAGTTATCCATCGCGAGTTTGGTCGCATGGATTGCAAGTGTTCAGGAACAGCACTGCGGTTTGGATGTGTGTGTCCATCCCTTCCATGTCAGGCTCCGCCTGGGCAATGTGGACAAATGTGTGGTTCATGCTGTCCAGTGTAACTGGGATTCTCTCTTATGTCTGACCTTGAGTTTCCTTGAGTGTCTCCTGTATCTCAGTGAACCAGTGTCCCACTGAATGTTCCCCTGAAAACTGAGTTAAAAACTCTGGGATTCTAGGTGATTTGAGCATACAAATATAATGACCCATTGTTTCTACATCTCTGACTCTTTCATTGACTCAACAGTTTTGCTCTCCAACTGAAGTTCCCTCTGGACCCAGTTGGTATTTGTGCCCAGCACTGTTCACAAATAACTTCAGACTATAAATAGAGACCGCAGAAGGAGCTAGGTACACTTCATAAACCCTGACAGCTCATGACGAGAGAGAAGAATGCCCACATGGGGTTGGATATTGATTCCAAAAGGTTGATGTTTATATTAGGTTTAATATTTTATTACCATTTCCCAAGTAAATATTCCCCAAAGGAAATAGTGTCTTTCTCATGCCTGTAAAGTCCCGTGTGTCTATAGCTCACAAGGCAGACATCCATAGGAAAGGCTTTCCATGCATGGTAAAAGTGCTTCATCTGCTTTGCCTTGAGTTTCCTGTGGTAGCCGTGCTTTAATTCATTAACAAGTCACATCCTGCTTTTACTAATGCCTCTTCCGAGATTCCTGCCATTTGACCTCACCTGAGGTCTAGGCTCTGTGCCATTTGCTTTCCGTCCTGGTGGTGTGATGTCCGTCACCCAGCATTGTGCCTGTGCTCTCTTTGCTGGGACTTAGACTCAAAGCCAGAAGCAGAGCCCACACTCTGCACTGCCCCACTGCACTCTCTCTGCCCCTTTGTAGTTCCGTCTCTGCTGCTCTGGTTCTTGGCTAGTTACCTTCCTTCTGTGTCCTTGCTGTTCCTGTGCAGAAGGTACAACTGTCTGTAGGCTCAGTTAGAAGATTCTATCCTTATTAGTACTGGCATGACCTTCTTTTACGACACTGAAATGAGATGATCTTGATTTGTCTGTTAGGTATGTAATTGTAGTTTGTTAGTAGATACTGGACTGTCTGTTAGGTAATCTAATTGTAAATTACTAATATAGGGCTGGAGAGATGGCTCAGCTGTTAAGAGTACTGGCTGCTCTTCCAGAGGACCCGGGTTCAGTTATCAGTACCCACATGACAGCTCACATCTGTCTGTAGTTCTAGTGCTAGGGGACATGAAACCGTCACACAGACAGGCAGGCAGGCAAAACACCAGTGCAGACAAAGTAAAAATAAATCGTTAAAAAGATTACTAATAGATTCCAGGGAAAGTAGACAAAGATGGTCCCAGAACGTATGACACTAAACAGAGAACTTGAGAATACATGGATGTTAGAGCAGCAAGAGATAGCAAAAGATCTCATTAATTTGTTGAGTAGAGAATGATTCGTAGGAATGACTTGTCATTCATTTTAAAAGAACTTCATATGTTTTGCTGTGAGTTATCTATAGGATACTTTATGTAACTGAGGATGACTCAGTCCTCCTGCCTACAATATTGGATTGTTGGCCAGAGTAATGATGCCACAAATAAATAAATGGGTTATGACTAAGAAAGGAAGGGGTTATGTGCAGGGGATTTGATTCTGTAGCTTTTTTTTAAAGATATGTTTATTTTATTTATTTTATGTGTAAGGTGGTTTTATCTGCACCAGTCGGTGTGTCCCACATTGGCTAGTGCCCTTGGATCCTTGGGTATGGAGTTAAAGTTGTTTGAGGAGTCTCTGTAGATGGGTTTTTCTTAAGTTCGCAAGCTCACAAAGACATGGAGACTTATTATGAAAGCTGGGCCTTAGCTTGGGCTTGTTCCTAACCAGCTCTTATAACTTAAATTCACCCATTTCTGTTAATCTACATTTTACCATGTGGCTTTTTACCTTTCTTTCATTCTGTGTCTGTCACACTACCTCTGTGTCTCTTTGGCATCTCCTCTGCCAGCTTCAGTTATCTCCTCGTAAGCTTCTCTCTTTCCAGGAGTCCCACCTATACCTCCTGCCTGGCTATTGGCTGTTCAGCTCTTTTTTAAACCAATCACACCAATATATCTTCATGCATTGTACAAATACCTCACATTTTCCCCCTTTGTGTCTAAATACAAAGGAAAGGCTTTAACTGTAACATGGTAAAACTATATACAATAAGAACAATTATTAGGTAATAATTAAATTCACAATGTCCAGTCCATTTGTAATTGGCATATTTAGAGAAAATCCTATATTACTTATCTTATCTTGATGTATTTAAAGTTTTATACTTAAGCCATTTTCTATAAATTGCATTACCATCATAAAACAATCTTTTTAGTCCTCAAAACATTTTTTTAGATAAACAATTTAGGCTTTTATGTCTTTTTTTTCAGTTCCTTTATTTAAATTTTTTCTCAAGAGATTAATTTTTTTCCAACTTTTTTTATTTGAATTAGGAACAGGATTGTTTTACATGACAATCCCATTTCCCTTCTCCCACCCGTCCTCCCCTACCCCCCACCCCGACTAAACCCTTACCTGTCACATATCTTCTCTGCTCCCCCTGGATGGTGAGGCCTTCCATTGGGTGTCATCAGAGTCTTTTGTTTCTTTGGGGTAGGGCCTAGGCCCACCCCTGTGTGTCTTGGCTCAGGGAGTATTCCTCTATGTGGACTGGACTCCCAAAGTCCCACACCTATGCTAGGGATAAATACTGGACTTCTATAGGAGGTCCCATAGATTTCCTCACAGAAACCCATGTTCCTTGGGTCTGGATCAGTCCCATGCTGGTATTGTAGCTATCTGCATCTGGGTTCCAGTTCAGTTCGGTGATTAGTTATGGGTGTCTGCTTCTTCTTCCGCCAGCTGCTGGATGAGGGTATTTAAGTCTGTCATCAATCTCATAATCAGGGGAGGGCATTTGAGGTAGCCTCTCCTCCATTGCTGAGATAGTTAGCTGGTGTCATCTTTGTAGATCTCCAGACATTTCCCTAGTGCCTTATTTCTCTGTAAACCAAAAGTGTCTCTCTCTATTATTTATGTCTCTTAACCTTATATACTTTATACCTCTTTTGTGAGTTTCTTTTTTGAATTTGATAACAAGGAAAATGGTAACTGTAACTATCTAGTCTTCAACTCCATAAGAGACTCAGGAAGACTAGAATATTAAATGAGTAAACAGAAAGTGCAGCTCAAACAACTTCCAGAACTATAGAAATAACAGAAACAGTGGACTGGACAGTCACCCAAGGTTCCTCTGCAGCATTAGGGCATCCATCTTCAGCCTGCAGGCCTAGAATATCTTGAGAGACTTTTCTGTGAAGTCGGAATTTTGAAGGACTGTCTTGTCTTGGCAAAGTTTTGCAGTTGCCTTTTTTTTTTTTTTTTTTTTTTTTTTTTCCTGTTTGTCCAATTTGGACAGCAAACTGTCAGCAGTTGAGGCAAGGGCAGTTTCTTTGCCTAGTGGCCAACTTTTGTTCTGGAACCCTCCATGTGGAGGTTCTTCAGTGCCCATCTTCTCTGAAGTAAATTGGTGCTGCCAGGAGCAGACAATGTCTCACTGTCATGAGAAGCCTTATGTTATTAAAACATCATAAATGCTATAGTCTGTAGATCTTTGAAGTGTTTGAAGACCACCTGTGTATATCTCTGTTTGACCTTGAAAACATATCTAACATTATGACAAGTTTGATTATTATAGATGACTGACTACTAATCTGTGCTTCTTAGTTATCCTAAATAGTTTATAATAATAGCCTTTGAGCTATTAAATATTTAATACCTTAAACAAGAGTAGAAACATACAGTGTAACAAAAATAACCTTAGATTTGTATCAGTATATAGAAATCC